CCTATTTTCATTTGAACTGGTTATATTTTTCTAAGTGCACTGGCCCAGTGCCTCAGTTTTTCAAACCATCTGTATCCTACCTGACATGACAGGTGAATTACTCAAAGTAGCAAAAGTTGGTGTAACAAATATTGACTAAAAATGCTGAAATTGTGATGATTACCTTCAGAAGCCTCCTAAGAAACAAGTTAGGTTTGTGTTGTGTTCCCTTGCAAGATGATGAATCGGAAGTGTGTCTGCCGCAGGTTGAGAACTGCTTGGGAGCTTCTGGTATGTCTCCCTTTCGCGTGGTGAACTGTGAACACGTTACTTTAAGCATTATCAAAACTTGGAGATAAATGTCTTTCCCACACCCTCCTGCCTTCTCTGTCAAAGCTAGACACCTTGTTTTGATTCCGTTTGGTTCTTCAGGTTCCTGTTTCTGTGTCTACCATGGGGAAATCTAGTATTACTTGAATCTAGTGAAGGTAAGTGTCCAGAACTTGCGGTAGTTTTGACTTCTATTGGAGCAGTTAAAGTGAAGATGTATCATTGAAGCAATACATAAAAAGCTTAGGGCAGGTTGTGAAAATAAAGATCATGTGCAAAAGAAAAAGTAACCTTGACAGTAGTTGCAAGAAACTAGGTTGTAGCCGCTGTATCAGGGAGAACTGTCAAGAGGATTTGAGGGCTCCTGGGAAAGCAGACTCTGGCCTGTTGGTGTGTGCAGAACCCTCTCTTGACAGTTTGCTGGGATTTTTGGGATCACTGGCTTGATTTGGCTGTAGTGTATTTTGTTTCTTTGAGGTAGGGATACAACTGTACAGTAGTTCTGTGTTTTGATTCATAGTGTTGCACTCAACCTGCTGCAAAACGTTTTGCCTTGGTGAGGCACATGTGCAACAACAGTGAATGGACTTCAGGTTGTATAGGTGATTTTTTTGATATAGATTCCCCCCTGCTGCTTTCAGATCACTGAAAACCATTATTTGGAAGTATTTAGTAGTCTCAGAAGTGTTTCTACAGTGATAACAATAAGTGTCTAGAAGGGACATTTAAGTGAAATTAAAGGACAAGGGTATACATCTGTGCAAGGAAGTACTTTTAAACACTATAGAAACCCCTGAGCTGTCTATCCCGAGTTATGCAAGGGGGAGAAACTTAGTACAGGTATTGCAGGTACCCTACAGGAATGTAGGTAGACATTTCAGTCCTGTTTTTTGGTTTTGTCAGAATGGTATCTTCATCTTGTATGTTTGATGTTGCCCTGTACATGCCCTGTAAAATCCCAGCACTTGAAATGTCATGCTTCGTCTTGGTGTCAAAGGTGTTTCAAGATGCTTCGGCGCAGGAGAGAGGCAGATCTGATCTCCAAGGCGTGGGTAACTTTGCGGAAGTCAGTTAACAGATAATGCTATCTAACTGTATGCTGTGAGGGGTATGGTTATCAGATAAGGTTTTGGTGGTTATTTATCTCTGATACTGGTGCTTGAAGAGGAGGGCATCGAAATGAATTCAGCAGTAAACAATAGAATACATCACATTTCCAAAACCCATTGGTGTCGGTGACAAGAGAGCACCTATACATCTGCTTTTCCCTCATAGCACTAGGGAGTACTCTTTGCATGCAGAAAGGATCATTCACAAGCTTCTGGACAGTGAGAGCAGCCCTCTGTGTTTGCAAGAGTCCCACCTAGAGACTGTAGCAAAAATAGCATGCACAAAAGGGAGGAGACAGGGAGAAGGCAGCGCGTTCTATAGATGCTCTTTTGCCCGTTGCGGTGCTGAAGGACTAAAATAACCCTACATGTAACTATCATGGGAATTTATAGTTACTATTTGAAAAGAAAAGGATAACATCGTGGGGTTGTGTGGTTTTTTTGGTGTTTTTTTGGTGTTGTGTTTTTTTTGCAACGAGTGTGTTAATACAGATGAAAACACACAAGCAAATCAGTGCACTGCGGAAGATGAAATGCTTCCGCTGTCAATTCTCACACAGTATTAAATCTGCCCAGTTCCACACCAGTGGTTTGATGTCTGTCTCTTTCTTTGACCAAGGTATGGGAATACAATATTCTTAACGGTGAGTTACTGGATTTAAAAATGTATGATTGGTTGCTGTGCTTTCCAGTATGGATTTTTGTATAAAATATGCATCTCAGTCCTGGTTTGGGACTAGTTAAGCAGAAATAATTTTTCTGCCTAGTTTTTTAGCACATTTGTTTTGTCCTTGGAAAGGGAACAGTCGCAAGATTACGGTGCAGAAGGCACATCAGATTCTATAGATGCATCTCGTGTTTAAAAGCTAACAATTTTCTGTTGTGATTGCTGCTAAGGAATGTATTTTGTTTCTAATTTAAAATTGATCCAAGTACTTGAAAATATCTTTTTGCATAGTGTTGATCAGGCACTGGAGAGTTTTGAGTACCTTGTCACCACTGACTGAGGCTGCTGGACTCTTTGGAGGTGTGGGGACGTTAGTACTGAAAGTTTGTCACACAGCTGATCCTATAGATGAAGCAGGATTTGTATCAGCTTGGAGATCACCAATACCAAGCTTGGATAATCTTGAAAGTTTAAAATAAATGCAAAAAGTGAGAATGTCTAGAACTGTTACAGATAAGTGGTTAGCTTTCTGCTATATATGAAACTTAGAGAATTAAATAGTATATATTGCATCAGCAGACCTAAGAAAATGGAGGGTTTGTCCCTTAATTTAAGGCTTTTCTGGCCATTGTTGCTGCCTATTCTAATAATAAGGCTTCAAGCCTAAGGCTTTTGACCTTGTAAAACTTTTCAGTGACTTTCACCAAGTACTATGATGAATTTATCCATCTCTTCTTAGATGGATATATGAGATTTTTAAGGCAAATTTTTCTTTGCTGTTTTCCTTCCACATACATGTACACATTTAGATTTGCTGATAACTTGCTGTTTTGTCTTCTCTGTTTTAAGACTGGTTTAGCTTGCAGTGTTAAATCTCTCAGTGTTTTTTCAAAGTAGTAATTATTCTGTATACTTCTCACTGTTGAGAGGTGAGTTACCTTGTTTTTCTTCAATTAATTGATTCCTTAAGGTTCTTTCCTGATTACAACAATGTGGTTTGTGTTGTATGGAGTAGTGAAAACTAGGTTGCTGGTTTTGCACTTCACTCCTGCACATTGGATTTGATTAATTGCATGTTACTTTATGCGCTGTTCACCTGTGAGAGGTACATATTGAATGCTGTATCTTCACCTGAATGGTATTCAGTCTTAAGCCTTACAGATATGAGATAAATCACTTAATCTTGTTTGCAAATATGTGAAAGAATGGCTGAAGTAACCGTTACCTTCCGGAGGGGGTGCGCAGAGGGAATATGTGCACTCAAATCAAGGTTTTTCTCTGTGTGATCTGGCTTCTGATTTATCTAGATAGAAGCTTACATCGTATTTATGTCCTTAACGCAGCGTTCTTGAGAATTTTCAGCCTGTTTGTGTTTCAGTGGTGCCAGATAATCATGGCAAGGGAGGTTGATGGAGATTGGATAATCTTGTGTTTGTCCCTTGTTATATGGCAGTTTGTGCTGTATAGCTAGACACAACTGAGCAGGACATACCCCTTTGTGCCAAGAATCTGACTCTGCATCTTTGGCCTCTGTTTGAGGATTTTGCAGCTCAGTTTGGCCTGCTTGTCTAGGCTATCTTTGCATTGTGCAGTTTTCAGAGAGACATGCTGCATGCCAGTAGCTGCTGTGTAACGCGTTTATTAAACAGCTCGCTAATGCCCTCAGAGGCCACCGCCCATGTGCTTGGGACAACCCAGGAGTGATGTAAGTTTTTCATTTTGGTATTAAAATGAATAAGAGGAAAATCCTGCGTGTTTCACTACTTCCAAATGAAATAACCCTATTGCTGTCTATGATAAGATAGCTTCCGTGATATGCTGCACAATAGTGTCTGTTTAAATTCAGACTGAGTAGCATTTGTTCAGCAGTAGCTTTTGGTCTGTAGGGCAGGTACCAGACCTTTTTAAACTCAAAAAAAAAAAAAAAAGTGAAGAAACCATCCAGTAGAAAATGTGGTTACATTGTTTATCTATGTTAGACTGATGTGAAAGTGAAATAGCCTGAAGACTTTTGCATATGTAAAATCTTAGGTAGTTTCTTCTGAAGAAAATTAGATCTATATAGTTGTAATGCAGTTTGAAGTTGTGCAAAGAATGGTTTGGCATCTGATTCTACTATATGAAAGTATGAGGGGAATGTGTACATTTGAAAATGTGAATTGGTGTGCTTGAGCTTAAGTCATAATTTGTCCTTTTTTTTTTTTTTGTTGTATAAGCAGATCAACTTGATACTAGACACGGCTGGTTTTTGGTCAGTGTATATTCACAATTTAATTTTAGCACTCCATATAAAAATACTTGTAGTAATATAAACCTTCCTCAGCCAGAAGAGACACTGAAGGCTTTTTTAGAGACGGTCTGTTGAATTTATTTCCTAATTTTCTGTAGCTGCTTTTGTTCCACATCCTTGAGCATCGCCACCCTAATGTTTTGCCCTTAAGTTGTCAAATGTGTACAGAGTCCTTAAAAAGGCTTTGAGATCATATGGGTAATCATTGTATCTAAATCTTCTATCAGAAAGAATGGAGAAAATAAAGGTAGGCATATGTATTTACAGTCTCTCTCTGCTGTTACCGTATGTACTGAAAATCCATTTCTATACTACACTAGAGTAGCAGTCATTGCAGAAAAACAGTTCTAAGTAGTGACAATATAAAACCTTTAAAAGCAACTTAGTGCACAACACTGAACTTGTAACTGCGGCACAGTGAACTAGTAACTGGTTTTCAAATGTACAGCTTGCAAAAATTACTTTATATTTTTGAAGAAATCCCTACTTGTATTTTATAACATTAAGTATTCTTAAACTGAATTGAAGTATGCATTTTCTTTTTTACTTAAAATAGTAGCTTTCTTGGCCATGTAGTATTTAGCAGAGTTATTAACTTCTGGGCTTTATTTTTGTTCCTATGCAGCGGATATAATTTCTACAGTAGAATTTAACCATTCTGGAGAGTTGTTAGCAACAGGAGACAAAGGAGGTAGAGTCGTCATCTTTCAACAAGAGCAGGAGGTGAGTGCTAACTACGTAAAGTATACTTGATGTTCTCCTCTGTTCGTATTCGTTCTCTTTTTAAAGAAAAGGAGCATGCTTTTACAAAAAACTTTACACGAAGTGCATGCCTGTATGATAAATGATTAAGATAATAAAATTTAAGAGTGAAAAAATTATTGAGAACTTTGTGACACTTAGACATTAATTTCTCTTTAAATACTTTAGCTGTCGTCTAAAGAGTGTTTAAAGTGAAAACGAAAAAGGAGGGGTTGGACACAAAAAGACCTTGGGGAAGCTGAAGTTGATTGTTTTTACAGTGACTCTGCTTGGCTGTGATTATTATTTTGGATTTCACTGTAGTTGGGGAAATAAAAGTTGCCCTTAATGACTATGTAACTCTGACCTAAGAGGTCCTTTTCCATTCTGATACCAAAACCAGTAAAACCATAGACTCATAGTAGCAAAGGTATCATTTCATTTTATGCTTGTTCTTTTGGTCTGTGCAGACCTCTACAGACAAATCTTCTAACGCTAGGAAAGGGCCTGTATTCCCATGTTAAAGATGGGAAAGCTGAGACGGAGTGCTTCATTTTTAACTGAGACTGTAGTTAGAAGTTGACTTGGTTAGAATTTATTTGAGGGAGAGCATGAAAAGGTGCTTCTGTCGCCTCTCTGCCTAGAAAAGTCATGCTGTTACTTCCTTCCTTAATGTTTTCATTCAATTGCAATTCTAAAAATCCTAAACCTTAAGAATTCCACACTGCCCCAGAACAAGTTGCTTCCTGATGGTATGCAGGCAATTCTAGTGCAGCACGGCCTCTTTACAAATAAATCACCGTGGTCAGTTGGTGCCATCTAGTGGGATATTCCTGACTGAGTAGCCTCTGCTGAGTTTCCTTGGCTGGAGTCTGAGATGAACATAGTACGTAGAGTATCCTTACTGCAGTCTTCCTGTAGTTTTGGGCACAAACGTGTGGTGTTTGTTTTGTTGGGTTTTCTGTTTGGGTTTGTTGGTTTTTTTAATAATAAAAAAAAAAACAACCCCCACCCAACCACCAAACTCTGAGTTTGAGCTTGCATCCTTCAAGGATCCTTTAATGTAGCTTTAAGCTTAAATAGCTAATTGCCTTTTCTCAAGAGAGTTGTCTTTAAATGACTGCTTTTGTTTTTGATGCATAACCTATGGCTCATATTCTTACAATCTGTGAATCTAGGTACAGTAAGAACCACTGGGGTTATCAGATTAAGTTCACAGAATTGTTTCTGGTATAATTTGACTCCTTGAGGTTTAGGGAACGAACAACGGGGATTGGATACCCTAATGCATTAGTAGTTAGTTACGCCATATGCGTTACTGTCTAGAGCAAGTTTTATATGTAAGAGTATCTAAAAGACAATTGTTGAAGTATTTGGGTTGGATTTATGTACCACCTCCTATAACACTGCATTCCAGAGTGTTTTACAGACCATACATACAGGAAGAAAAACAGTAAAACAAGAGTGCTCTCTATAGAGTTATACAAGCTTGTGTCATTTTAGCCACTGCTAAAATGCTGCCACCTCTGGGTTGGAATGTGGCAGCCCTTCTGCAATGTGAAGCAAGTGACATTACATAAGTATCGGGCAGGAAATGAATACTGTACCTAATTGAAACCAAAGGAGGAATTTGCGTAGGCAGCCTGTAATTACCTAAATTGGAATTTAACATAAGGTACTTAGGCCAACACCTCTTCTTGTTTTGATTTTTTTTGAGTGCCATGAGGTGGTCTCATGGTTTAAATTTTGCTTTTATCCCAAAGGTGGATTTCATATATTACTGGGTTTATATATTGTTCTAGTCCTGTAGAGTTTTACTAGAATACACAGGAAGTATATTTAAGGCTCAGTCATTATGGTAAATATGGAATTGAAGGAAAGTTCCCTGAATCATGACCAACATTTTCTAAAGCACAATAGATTTTCTTTAGATGTCGCCTGTTCTATGCAGTGACCCTGCTTAACTTGTTAGACCTAACTGAAACTTAGAACAAAGTTCCTTCCGTTCTCTAGGGTGGGAAAGCCAGTGTAATTGGTAGGTGTGGTACAACATTCTAGTGCCAAATTTTATTTCTGAGCTTTTTTTCCACTTTTCCCTCCCCCACAGCTTATTGTACAATGTAAGAGCTCCTGCCAGCTATTAATGTAAGGGTATGAAGCAAGAAAAAACGATGCAGGGAATGTGACAAGTGTGGGCTAGCAAGGATCATATCAAGAAGTATGTTTTAGTGGGGTATTAAGGGATGAGATGAATGGATGGACACGCAAGAGAAGGAAGGAGCGAAGTCCCTAGTCAAGAACATATCACAGGAAAGGCATCTCATTTTGCAACCTCTTGAAATGGGTGGAACAGGAATCTATCACAAAATTAAGCTTGAATTAATTTCAGGTACTCCTAGGGAGCGCTGTTTCAGAAATGGTTCCAGTTTTCTGTCACCTATTGGAGGGAATTTAAGGTTCAGTTCATGCAGAGCAATATTAGTGCTAGGAAGCCACTGCCTAAAACATAGCTTTTAGAAAGAGGAATTATGCAAGTTTGGAAGTTTTTCGGTTTTCCAGACAGGTCCATCCTGAACAGGCTGACTGGAGGTGTGACACTTAATGTCAAAGATGTATTCAACAGAGGTGTTAAGCTTTTTTTCCCCTCATCTCCCAAATGAGGAAGAAAAAGCTTCTTAAGCAGTTTAGAAGGTCCCAAGCAATGTGGAGATTATAAACCAGAATAGTGGAGCTGCATGTATAAATTTAGAGGTGACATGTGGGATTTCCATAGTGTGCCTAGCAAGCTGAACTTACTGACAGAGTAGATTTACCATATGTGTGGTTGTATATTTCTCTTGGGGAATGTTCTCTTTAAAAAAACAAAGATGGAAAAATTAAAAGATGGGAGAACAATGAAGACTTTGAGGTTTTTTAAAAAAGAAAAACTTTCCACGCATAGAATGTTTAGGCAAAATGTTAGTTTGTAAGTTCAGCTGCTTGGAGTTAACATGAGAACTGGCTGGAGATATTATTCAGGTGGCTGAGGGGAGTTTCTGGAAACTTTAGAAATCGAAAGCTGCTGCAATAACTGTCTCTGCTGCTTTCTTAGCCAAAAGAGTAGAAACTCTAATCAAGTTCTTGCAAAAGAGATGATCTTCATTTCGTCTGTTCTACAGGCTTGTTAAAATAAGGTAAGTTGTATGCCAAAGGGATAGTCATGGCAAATATGGCATAGACAACAATAGAGTGTAGAAGTCTTAACCTATTCTTATGCTAATTAGCAGTCTGCCTATATATCTTTCTGCATAAATACCTAGTTCTGGCTTCTGCCTGCAGCCTTCAAAAGCATTCTGTACATTGCATATATATCTTGATCATTTAATTCTTTTTTTTTTTTTAGAACAAAACCCAGTCTCACAGTAGGGGAGAATACAATGTTTACAGTACCTTTCAAAGCCATGAACCAGAGTTTGACTACTTGAAAAGTTTAGAAATTGAAGAGAAGATCAACAAAATTAGGTGGTTACCCCAGAAAAATGCTGCTCAGTTTTTATTGTCTACAAATGGTAAGTTATGACTTAATAGTTAATTTTGCATGGTAACCTATTGTTACATAGGTTCGTAATTAGGATTTTGTCCAATCCTCTCCACTTTGAAAAGGCTGGAAGCAAGCTGATTTTAAATGCAAGTACCTAGGGATGCGGCTACACAAGAGTTCTGCTGTTTAACTATACTGCTGTTCTGGTGTAACTGGATGCAGGAGCCCCACAACACAGGGTGCTGGACTAGTCATTCCGATTTGGTTGCTTTCCAGCAAAGGGACTTAGCTAAGTCATTCAGTACCTTTGTGTGTGTATAACTGACTGTGTGAGTGCTTATATTAGTCATTCGTAACAATACTCATTCTAACTAAAACTTGCTATAACTTTTATAAAAAGAACAAACTGTGGAGGAGGTCTTTTTAATGCTATTTATCTTGTCTTGTTTTTTCCAAGCAGTATTTTTGTCTTCTTGTACGCGTAGGTGGTCTTGTCTTGTTTGACGGCTTCATGCTGAAGTGCATCAGCTGTGAAGACAACTATCTTTGCTAGAGCTTTGATTTTAAACTGTGGCTCTTTCATTTCAGATAAAACAATAAAGTTATGGAAAATCAGTGAAAGGGACAAAAGACCAGAGGGTTATAATTTAAAGGAAGAAGATGGACGGTATAGGGATCCTACTACAGTTACAACACTACGGGTGAGTAGTTCACTCTCTGTGAACTAGCCACATTCAGGTGATTTCTCCTCTCCTTCCCACTGGCACACAGATTAGCCTGTGGCTCAGTGAGTAACTGCCCCATGAGATTATTAACTCTACATTTTCTGTCATGCCATTTGGCAGCCACATTTACTCCTGAGGTGATTTTGAGATAGTGTAATCAGCTTGGTGTATTGAAGGGCCGTGATTATGACTGCCAGTGTGTTTGAAGTGCACTTGTGTCTCCAACTTCCATTGCTTTCTATTTTGCAGGTGCCAGTATTCAGGCCCATGGACCTCATGGTTGAAGCTAGTCCACGAAGAATATTTGCCAATGCTCACACGTATCACATCAATTCCATCTCCATTAATAGCGATTATGAAACATACTTATCCGCAGATGACTTGCGGATTAACCTGTGGCACCTAGAAATTACAGACAGAAGTTTTAGTATCTTTTTTGCAGTGTTTTATATGTTTATATGTTTTATATGATGGTAACAGCTCACTTAAAACAAAACTGTTGGATTTTATTTCCTTTCATGACAAGCTTTTTATGTAGCATGTTTCTCCATTTCCTGGTTATTTCTCCCTATTAGTTGTGAGGACTTTTACTTTTGGAGAGGTAGCTCAGCATGGGCAATATAAGGAGAGTCCTTTGCATGGTGAAAACAAGATTCTTTTAAAGGAGAAAAAAGCTTAGGTTTCAAGTTAGATGAGCAGTTCTGGAAAGCAGCGTTACAGTAAACTATCTTCTGAGAATTTTCTTGACTTGCTGTAGGAAGCAAGTCGGAGGACTACCATCCTTGTCTCAATGACGTTTAATTCTTTTTTGCCTTCTAACCATTGGCCCCTCTTGCATGTGCATCTACAAATGTTGCTGGCAGTCGGATCACAGAAATACATATTCAGTCCCATTGCTGGAAGCAGAGATTCGTGGACAGATCAGCAGGATCCTGAGCAGAAATCACACATGCATTCTTTAAAATGTAATAGTGTCATTGGAATTTAAGCAAAATGAAGTTCTATGTGAAAAAACCTGGGTGACATATATGTAGTATAGAATTAATTACTGCTGAATTGGAGCAAAAAATTAAGCAGGCTTTTGCTCTTAAAAGAATTAACTTCAAACTGATAGAGGATGTAATGTTATGGTCTGGTTTCTAGACAAATTGTGGGACTTGATTTTGACTTTTATCCAGCTTGTGACTGGATCCCACAAAAGCATTGCTGAATACATTTAAAGCTGAAAGATCTGTTGTGAAAACTGGAGAAAATTCCTTAACAAAATGCTGTAGATATTGTAGATATTAAGCCTGCCAACATGGAGGAGCTCACAGAGGTGATAACAGCTGCAGAGTTCCACCCAAACAGCTGTAATACATTTGTATACAGCAGCAGTAAAGGAACGATTCGCCTCTGTGATATGAGAGCATCAGCACTCTGTGACAGACATTCAAAATGTAAGTTCTGCCCTGCATTGTTTTTGTCTTTTTTTTTGAATATGATACCTTGCTGTTAGATGAAACTAAGCACTCAGTAAGAATATGTTCAATGCTGACTTGTGTATGTGTGTATATATTCGTATTGCATTTCTGTAGTATAGTGAATAGATCTAAAACCTACAATCTAAATAAATCTTAAAATTAGATCAATATTTTGCCAGAATAAAAGTAGTGAATGAAATTATTAGCAGCTTAAGCTGGGGAGTATGCCTAGACAATAGGACTAGGAATGGCTTTCTGCACACTTCAGGAGGTCAGATACTAGTTGTTTGGTCTGTACTTGATGCTAGAAATCTTACGTGTGTGAATGAAGACTCCAAATATTAGCGAGTAGTCCACTTAGAAGCTGACCTTGACTTGCTACGAAAATAAAATACCTTGGAGGATGGCGATTGCATTATAAGGCTTTCTCATTGAAAGTTACTTCATATAACGCAGGCAGAATAGCCCAGTGTGGCAAGCTTACTGAGAGACTGCTAACCTAATTTGGGTGTATCTTGTGTCGGAAGAGACATAAACTTATCTCTTGAAATGCCTCTCCTATTTTTGTACAGTGTTTGAAGAACCAGAAGATCCTAGCAACAGATCATTTTTCTCTGAAATCATCTCTTCCATATCTGATGTCAAGTTTAGCCATAGTGGTCGATATATGATGACTAGAGATTATCTGTCGGTGAAGATCTGGGATTTAAATATGGAAAACAGACCTGTGGAAACGTATCAGGTATTTGGTGAAGATGATGTAGGCTAGAAATTAAAACTTGAAGGATGCTGAGTCTTATTAGTAATAGTCTTGATATGTCAGTTACAGTGTTGTCTATAAATCACCATGTCTGGGCAAAGCATCAATGAGATGTGGGTTCCACACACCTGCTAAAGGATCTTGCTATTTCCAGGCTGATTGCAGAACCCAAAACCGTGTTTGGGTATGAAAAAGCCTCCCTCCTACCCCATGGAAATGTGGAAAGGTCTTCTTCAGCCATGAGATAGCACATCTCTCATATAGCCTTCAGATGACTTCATATTCTGTTCTTTCCCGGAGGAAATAGGAGGTGAAACATTTCCTTCACAGAAAAAGTTTTTGTCTGGCACTGAAAATTCTGTGGTGTTTTGTGTACAAGAAAATTTGTGAAGGGATCCTCTTCATCATACATAGGAGGAAGATCAGTCACCAAAGCATGATTTTTCAAAGGAAGCAAAGTCTGACTGATCCTTTCTGCCTTTCAGATATCTAAAAGGGTAGCAAGGGTGTGACAACTGCTTGGAGAGGGAAAGCCTTCTGAAGAATTGCCAAGTCCTGGGAGATATTTCTTTCTCCACCCCAAGTGACTTGCTACAGTAGAAGATGTTAATTCCTACATTCGTTCATTTTGTTCTTTATCTACACAGTTAGAGGAGGGAGCTGTGTGTGCTCCTGTGAATAGGGTGTAAGCAGTGTCAGATATTTAGTGACTTTTGGAACAGAATTTATGAAGGTTATTTTACAGATATGCAAGTTCAGTATTCATTCATTCAATTTTTTTCCAGGTGCATGAATACCTCAGAAGTAAACTTTGTTCACTGTATGAGAATGATTGCATTTTTGACAAATTTGAATGCTGTTGGAATGGATCAGACAGGCAAGTTTAAGTCTTCTTTATGTGCACTTAATACCTTTCCAAGTTATTCTTAAAATGGTACACTTGAAGCATGGCCTCAAGTATTGGTCTGGTTTTATTTATGGACAGGCTCAGATAATATTTTAGTACTTAGTAGACTTTAATCTATGTTTATTAGCTCTTAACCCTTGATGTTATAGTGTAGGATTATAGAGAACCGCTGTAGTGTACTGAAGAGATGTAGAATGTCACTAGAAAGAGTTTTGTCACTTTGGTTACTATTTCATTCTGACAAATGTTCCAGCTGCTTAAACTGGAGAGATGGGCGAAGCAGTAAGATTAGAGATGGTTTTCTGCAAACTGGTGAAATACTACTGATACCCAAATCCACTTGCTTTATTATCCCAGGTGTTTATCTTTTGGTGTTTTGTTTTGTTTTGGTTGTTTTGTTTTTTTCTTTTCCCTGTGTCATCTGTTATGATCTGACTTTGGAATGATTTGTATGGGAGTGAGGCCCATGTACTCAAACCCTGTTGTCTGATTGATGCTCTTAAGTGTAAGAATCTACACCAGGGCTGTTGGGGAGACCTGTGTATGTGTGTTCTATTTAAGCTGCCTTGTCAAAAGGTCGAACACTTGGGGAAAAACCTTCTAGGGCTTTTCTTTCTTAGAGTGAGTAGTCACGTTTGCCTCGCTTGGGCATGGTTGACTAATACTGTTTAAGACAGCTGTTGCTTTTGTGTTAATCGTGTCATTAACTGCTTACTTGCTAGATCTAAATCAGCTCATTGTATCCCTATCAGTATTGTCAGACATAGCTTTTTTTTTTTTAAACTCAGCATCTGTCTTTTTTTTTTTTGAGGCAAAGGAAGGATAGGGAAACTTCTAAGTGTATTTGTCTTACTGAAGCTGGTATAGAATAAGGATCTTCTATAAGGTATTACCACAAACTAGGTGTGTTAGTACCTAAATTCATGCAATTTGTGTGTAACTAAAATTACCTGGCTAAAAATCCGATGTATTTGGCGTTTATTAGGTCACTTCCCCACATATGCATGAGAAGCAAATCAAATGATGACACTCAAATTGAAGTGCTTAGATAACTAAAGTGTGTACCTCTAAAAGGTCCAGTTAAGGAAAAAGATACCTTTTTTTAAAAAAAAAAAAAAAAATCTGTAAAGGCATTCAAATATTTTAGTTTCACTTTAGACTGCAGAAAGTAGGGGCAAGGATGCCTGTGTTCTGCTTCTATAATAAGGCATGATCTTACTTGGGACCCAGAGGTTTCATAAAAGGAGAGGTTATTTTCAACTGAACTGTTACTTACTTTCCCCTCTCTGCAGCATCGTCATGACGGGATCTTACAACAACTTCTTCAGAATGTTTGACAGGAACACAAAGCGAGACATCACCTTGGAGGCATCCCGGGAAAACAATAAACCCCGTACCGTTTTGAAGCCACGTAAAGTATGCGCAAGTGGTAAGCGAAAGAAGGATGAAATTAGTGTTGACAGCCTAGACTTCAACAAGAAGATTCTACACACAGCCTGGCATCCTAAGGAAAACATCATTGCTGTAGCTACTACAAACAACTTGTATATATTTCAAGACAAAATGAATTAGGGTTGGCATTCCTAACTGAAGAGTCCACTTCCTGCATAGTTGAAATAGTTGAATCTAGCATTTGTACCTGTAAACGAAAGAGAATGAGAGGTCCATTATGGCACCCCTTTCCAGTGTTTAAAAATGTGCCATATGACAACACACTTCTATAGCTACATGGAGAAAGCTCTGTTGATCCGTCACTGCGTTCTTCTCCATGTCTGCTAGCCATTTAGGTGAGGATAGGGCACTTTTTAATTTAAATGACTACTTGCACCATCTTGCCTAATGGACTAGATTGGACTGTATCAACATCGGTTTACTCCACTTTTTATGCCTTCCATTGTGATGACGTCAAACACAGGGAAAGCCTTCAATCATGCTATGGGATTTAATTGTGTAACCTCATTACTGTATCATTCGTGGCCCCCTTTTTTTATTAAATACAGCTCATTCTTGCTGTGGCTTGTAGCATTCCTCCTCCTCCTGGCCTCCTGGACTCCCCCTTTCCCTTTCATCCCCCTCCACCTAGCCTTGGTGGTGGTGTATAGAAAAATACCCCACAAAATAAAGCACATGAAATGGGTCCGTTTGGGGTCAGTGGTAAAGGGGGTCTGTGTTGCAACAAATGTTTTAATAAACAGTTGACTGTAATCACTCCTTGCCATGTCTGGCACCAAAAAAGAGAAAATAAGGAAAAAAACCAAGCAAACTACTGAATAAAAGTGACAAAGAATGGAGAATCTGTTTTCTTTTTTTTAATCTACCTCTTTATACAAATACTCTGTGTTTTACCTTAGATGCATGAAAATAAAATGATGTTTTTTGTAATGATTTTAACCAGTATTAATTATTTTTCATGGGAATGAAGAGAGGGAGGGACTTCACAAGGATCTGCATTCATTCATGAATAGTGTGTGTGTAACCACTTCCATTTCAAAACCGTGACCTGCTGTCAGATTTTGCCATTGTCTGAACAGGTGTCACTTACTGTTCCAGTATCCTTAAAGGTTCTTTTCTTAAACTATTGCTTAAATTGGAACCGGAATAGAATTTTCAGGTTTTAACATCCATTTTATGGGACTGCTGTCTTAATGTTTAGTTTCATTCTGGTTTCTTTAATGCCTTGTTTTAGGGTACAATACCTTTAATGCCTTCTTTAGAGTAGAGAGTCCCCTGTTGTCTAGCAATATGCTGCTACGTAGTACAAAACACCAAGTGATTATATAGATAATTACTACACTGCATTCTGAGATGCTCTGTTTTCTGTATTTTATTGCTATCAGTAACTGCGTGGAAATGTAGTTTTACCATGCAAGTGTTTCTTCTGGCTTTTGGCTTTGCAAAGTTACCACACTTAAAGAGGTGTTAAATGGTGCAACAGTCAGAAAATTCGTGGAGTACAGAAGCTGCATGAATTAAGTGTTCATAGTTATTTGAGAGATTTAAACTCTTTAGCAAATCCAAAGATGAACGAGATGTTGCTGCTTTATAAGGCTCATGAGTTTTTACCTCCAGGTATTATTGCTAATTGTCCTTTTTGGTTTACTCTTCCTTCACGGAAATGTTCAGAATGAAGTTTAAAGTCATAGTGAACTTACCTTGACTGGGAGAATTTTCACTTTTCAGTTACCTATAGTTAAATTATTGCTGTGGCTTAGTTATAGGTAGTTCTTATAATGACTCTATTATTTGATCAACTAAGATACTGTTTCTGCTGTAAAATTGTGGCTGGGTTAGAGGTTGTTAATGAGACTACTATTGCAGTCATACTTTAATTTCTTTAAGTTCTTGTGCAGTGGTTTGAGAATGTAAAAATTCTAATATTTATTAGATCTGGTTCTCCTAAATACAGTATTTGTCTTGTAACATGCATGCCTGACCATGAGCCTTCGTAAGGATTTAACCTTTCTTTTGTCACCTGTCAGCCTTGTAAAAAAATTAACTGCCCCAGGGACAGCAACTGTTTTCCAATGGGTGAATAAACTCGCAGGCCCTACTCCTACTCACGGAGCATGTGACTAATTTTACTCAAATGACTATACTTGCTAATAGTGAAGGAAACAACTTGTTGAGTAACGTTTATCACGTGTATAGGTGTTTACAGGATCAGGTCCGAGGTTTATTCTTCATCTTCTCGCAAGGGCAAAGAGGTAAATAGACGCTTCTTTTGCATCAGAGCTGGTAACGCTCATCTCCATTTTGCAAAGAATCCTTTTGCATAGGTTTAATGACTGCTATATTGGGAAGATTGAGGGTCATGCTGTCAAGACTGCTGCTCTTGTGTGTATCTATAAACCGAGTGATGCGCCAAGTACCCGAAAAGTTGCTTAGCACAGATGCAAAAGGAAGCGAGGATGTGAAGACGACACAGAACTGAACAGGTAGATCTCGCGTAGAACACAGTGCAGCCTTCTAGCAATACTACACTCAAGCGAAACTGCCTCTCGGACCTCAGCTGTGCACGCTGGGATGGGATCGGGGGATTAAAGCTAGTCTTGGGCAAGATTTTTGGTTTTGTCAGTAGCGGTGATCCCTGGCATGTCATCTGAGGTTTAATTAGCCTCACCAAAACCAGCTACTGACTGGTGTCATACTATCCAACTAGGTAATTCTCAAAGCACACTGTCCATTGACCTATGCTGTAAATCTTATATTTTATTAATAAAAGTATGCATAGAATACATTTTGTCAGGTTGCTTTTTATCCTCTTTCCTGTCCCCCTCTGTCTCTGTTTACAGGTATTTTTGAAACTCTTGATCTCTACCCTACTGCATGTCCTACCCCATTCTGTGAGCTTCCGTCTTCTGATTTCTGGGCCGTGTCCTGGACAGGGTGGGTGTTGGGGTAATTCTGCTCTCCACCAACAAGCATGGTTTCAGAAAAGCAGCCGCTCTGTTCTAGCAGTCTCTTCCAGTGCCTGGTGAAACCAAATCCTCAATTCTCAGTCCTTGAATACTGGACTAAATACTGAAAGAGTTCTGTTCCCTAGTGTCTTGCCTTGAAGCCAGTGAAGCTACCTAAATGCCAACAACTACCACTTAAGCGGTTAGTATCTGCAACATTACAACCACACTCTAAACTACATTGGTACTATTGCCAACAATTAAGGTTGGGTGTAAGTTGGTTATCCAGCTGGTAAACGCTGAGGCGTAGGCGAGTTCTGTGGCTGAGTTCCCTTTGCCATTTTCCTACTGAGAAGTGGCAACTGCCTTGAAAACATGTTGAATATGCCCCAGCACCCTACTTGCCCTTACCCTTCTGTTGCAGGCCTGTGATTTCTATTCCAGCATTTAGTATTTAAATACCTATTCTTTTCCTCTCAGCCTAATTGGGAAAAGCTTAGTTAGTGCTGATAAGCAGAAATCTGTACTTCTCCCCCTCTTGGAGAGGGGCTGCTGGATAATGGGATACTAACATTTTCACATTATTTTCTTTTATTGGCAGCTCTGGAATTGGGTGTTCTTGGGCATGACATAGCTAGGAAGTAATTTCCTGTGCACTGGTCTTCAGCTCTCCATCTCGGGCTCTAGAGCAGCTGTATAGCCCCTGTTCACAACGTGCACTTCCGACTGTAATCAAACAAAAGGGGAGGTTTCCTTTTGCCCTTTCCCATGTAATCGGCTGTTGTAAATCGAAGGATTGGGGGATTGCATCGGAGTGGGGAGAGGGGTGCTGGAAGTGAGGTTGCTGTGTAATGGCTATTGGTGTCTTGAGAGATTTGTGTATGTTTGCTCTTGGCAAACATTTTTTGTTGGTGTAGAAAGGTTTGGGCTTGTAAAAATGAGTGGTGGAAGAAAGTGACAGCAGTGGCTGGAATAAAAACAGTAAGCATTTCCTTCTATGGTGATACAGTCGAGAGACTAAGAAACTGTGAATTCCTCTTCTCTACACAATCTACTCCTGAATTTTAATAATCCCAACCTTTTGCAAACAATTCATCTATTGTTTCAGAAAAAAAATAGCACTCGGCGGTTCTTTCTGGTGCTGTTTTTCCTGTGTCTGTGCTCTCCACCAGCAGGCAAGATGTCACTGAGAGGGGCAGATGCTTCAAAAATGCAGGGGATCAAGGAGTATTCCTTGAAGTCTTTGGAAGTGCCAGTCATCTGCAAGGACTGTGTCTTTGATCAATGTTGCTACATATAAAATACAATAAATTTTATAGTACGCATCATCACTACCTCCAGCATAAAGAAAGCAACCAAGGCGTGTAGG